TCCGTGCTTCACCGAATATATAATCGATACTATATTTATTGAAATCGGTACAGTGATTTCGGAGATTAATGCGTTCAATTAATGTTTTAAAAATTCTTCTGCTACTTTGTARTTAATTTGAATATATGATGTTTTAATTATTATTATAATTTATAACAAATATTGGAATCGATGTTCGCAATAACCGTGTTCACTCACCTCTCGCTCAAAACGAAACCGTTGTCGACGATGGTCGGAATCGTGTGCTGAGGGTTCAACTGTAACATCATCACAAACCGAAAACGATTGTTGAGAAAAAAAATTTCAATTGCACACGGCCAGTGGCCACCGATAGACGTATTAATATTATCGGTACGTTAGAACCTACTTGCTTGTATTCTGGTTTTTGTGTATCKCCTTTGCTCGGTGTCGTCACAATCCGATTGAGTTCKACGTTTAAAATGTGGGCCACAAGTTCCACGGTCCTGCATGGAGGACTCCACGAGGCGTAGTAGAAATCAATGGTCATTTCTAAGTTTTYGTAGTAACCGTGATGTAGAGAGTTGAACGAAGATGAAATGCGTGTCAATAAAGTCGCGGTGGACGTCTACGCCAAAGTGTTATATATATAGGTAAGGCTGAACATTTTTTTATGGGTTTTTCTTTTTTTGTCATGCATCACATAAACACGCGACGTATTACGCAATAATAACTGTTGTCGCTCAGTTCGTTGTATAATGATGTCAATTAAGCGTAAAGAAATAATCAGATTATTTCGATGTAATTACTAAACAAATTTCATCTGAAGAACGTCATATTTATCACACCATATGGCACGTTATGGTTCCATACATAATATTTTTTTAACGATGAACAGTATTATTTAAGAAAAAATAACTTCCACAAGAATCAGTTTACCTACCAAAAGTTTGAGATAATCGAGAYGATTATTTGAAAACTCCACATTAATAAYATCGAACGATATCGATTTCAATCAAAGTTTTTGATATCGACGTAACTGAGTACATCGACTTTCGATATTGATATAGATATGTACATTCAAATTTATATTTATTTAAATTTTGACTGCGAATATGCAAATGAGATAAGCAGAAATACTCATCTATATAGGGGAAGACGGGGTATTACCGTATGCACTATGCGAGGCAAAATCGTATTATCGGAATATTATCAATAATTTTTATCGTAGAAGTAAACTGAATACAACGATTTGAAACGTTTTGTWTGTTTATTTATTGCATATGATAGTAKACGTGTTATAATATCACGTTTTTAAAATAAATACGTTTTATATTTTTATATTCAATTACTAAAATATTATCAAAATTTCAAATAGTGAATTTTTATATGCGAAAAAATTGTTCAGGTATGCTATATTAATTAATAATTATTCAATAGCTAATTAAGTGTAATTTACATTTTTAGTATAAATACATTCATTTATTAATTTAATGTTTGATAT